ATATTTGAGCAAAAATCTTTGGAATATCAAAGTAAGTGTTTCTCGCCTGATGGTCCTATTGGATGAGGAGGTATTACATCTTTATAAATCGTTTACCTTTATTAAATCTTTTATCAACCTTTTAGTTTTTTATCAATTAATTTTATGATTAAAACAAATTTTTTGTGATTTAGGTAGCTTAATTAAGTCATAAAATTAACTTAATTTTATATTTTTAATTACATGGTGATTACGTTCATGCCTCAATTAAAGTCAACTTTGTTCAACAATTTTGTTCAAAATTGATTGAAGAAAAAGTTTACTCCATTAGATACTTTTCAGTCGTTACAAATAAGAAACAATATCGCACGCATTGTCAGCGACAACAAAATAATGATTCAATTTTCTAAAATACTATTGTTTGGGCGATTGAGAACGATGAAAAAATTCCAATGCATAGATTTAATTTTGTATGATTACAAATTTTAGATTAATTTCACAACAATTATTCACTTTCTGGTAAATATTTTAATTTATTTTATAAGACTATAAAGATTTATTTTATATAAATTTTATTTTTGCTAACATGTTCTATTTATCCACTTTTATTAGATGGAAGAAATATGGGTGTGAACAAAGTTGTTGATCCTATCGAATTTTTTTTTTTAATACAAATTTTTTTACATGCAAATATTACATCTAATAACTATTATTTTTAATGTTCTTATCAAAATATTTATTAGGGGAACAAATTACATAAAATTAATTTAAAATTATCCTTAACAAACAATAGCAAAGTATCAAAAATATTATGAGTATGATCTAATTACAAAAATTATTTTTATGAGATTTTATGTATAAAAATCCGTGGGATATTAGGATTTAAATTATTAAAAAAAATAAAAATTATCTTATGAAATTAATTGTTTTATCTAAATACCCGATTGATAAGATTTTTTATTCATAAAAAAAATTTAAAACTTATAAAACTTTACCTTCTTTAAACATTTTATGTCTAAAAATTTGAAAAGACGGATAATTTGTTAGAGATCACAAGAAATATACAAAATGATATATAGATTTGAGAGTTTAATTTCAAGTGTAAAAAGCAATGAATTATGATTTAGGATTTAAATTATTTTAAAAATAAATATTATTATCTTTTCACATTAAAGATTTATCCTAATATGTAATCAATGAAATATCATATTTACCATTTTTTTTTGAAAAATATCATATTATTGTCATATAACTAACAACAACGAATAAAATACAAAACAACAATAAATTAAGTCGCATTATAAATTACATTAAAAAAAATTATACTTTTGTAATTGCCAATATCATTTTAATTAATTTATTATTTGTTTTTGTTTTTTTTTTTTTGAAATTATTAAATTGTAAAATAAATCAAATAATTATAAAAAAAAAAATTAGAGCATATAGGAAAATATCTTTTCTTGAGATATATGTATGAAAAATCGTGCATTTTTTTTTAAAGGTAAAATAAAGGACCCTACTTCCAAAAACTTTAAGGTGATAAGATGAATTCTCCACCAACTCCATGAGGAACAGAGATATATATACGGCGTTTATATATACTCCGTACTCTTGTATTAAAATTAATTTCTTTTTAAAAAAAGGTACAAGTTCATTTGGGCGTGGCTTCCGGTCAAGTTCCAAGATTCAGCAAAGGGATTTTCCCATTTAATGAAAAAGTTACGAAAGATTCAAGTGGTACTACAGCTGTTCTTTTGCCACGTATGCACTTAACCGACCAAACGCGTGGGCCCTTTCATCTGACGCTCCAGCTCATTCCTTCCAATCAATGCTCCTCTACTTATTACACATACCCTTGAAATTTTCTTCCCCTTTTTATCACTTTCGGTGTTAATTTTCTGCTCACCAAGAGGGTGTGATTTTTTCTTTTCATTTTGGTGTGTTCAGACGTTTAAAATGAAAGCCGAACAATGGTAGAGCTCGCACGCTTCAACCCTGGTTATGATATACGAGTAGCATATACTCCTTTGTCTCTTATATATTGTCTCAATATTTATCAGACGTTTGAAATGGAAGCTGATTAATGGTAGTGCTCACATGTTTCAATTAGAGCTGTCAATTCGGGTAAATGGGTCGGGTTAGAGTAGGTCGGGTCATGTCGGGTTAACGCTGTAACCTATGCAGGTCGGGTTCGGTTGGGTCATACTTGAGTTGGGTCACGTCGGGTCGTACATCTTAACGGGTTTGGGTCAGGTTAATAAAAGGTTGGGTTACATTCGGACCGGGTGAATAATAAGCCGGGTTTAATTCGGGTTTTCACGGGTTAAAACGAGTTAGGGTCATTCTCGGGTTCGAGTCTGGTTCGGTTCCAGTCAATAATTTGCGGGTTATAATCAGGTCGGGTCATTCTCGGGTTCGAGTCGGGTTCGATTCAAGTCAATAATTTACGGGTTATAATCAGGTCGGGTCATTTCCAAGATGGGTCATTCTCGGATTCAAGTCGGGTTCGATTCAAGTCAATAATTTGCAGGTTATAATCAGGTGGGTCATTCTCGGGTTCGGCTCATTTTCGGGTTCAAATCGGCAAGTCAATAATTTGCGGGTTATAATCAGGTCGGGTCATGTTCGGGTTCGAGTATCAAATATTGGGTTAATATGGGTTTCAAGTTGATTTTAGGTCCGGTCATATCGGGTTCGAGTACATTTTTTGAGTCGATTTGTTAACAGTTTATGTAATGACGTTCACATTTAATCATTATCAATTTCTTCATTTATTGTAAGAGAAGTAATTTCAGAGAAGTTTAAATTCGAGCTAATAAGTTCACGTAAATTTAGATAAGATATATATACATTATAAGTCATAATAATTCCATTAAGATAGGTTTAGTTTAGATTTTTAGAAGATAAGTTCAGACCTTATTCTGATCTATTCACATTGTTTCCACTCATTTTAGGGATAACAATTTCAGATAAGTTCATGTTTGATATAACATGTTCAAATAAGTTTAGATAAAACACAATAATTATAAGTTGATATAAATTCGGATTAAATAGGTTTAGTTTGGATAAGTTAAAATAAGTTCAGTCTCTATTGTATTCACAATGCTTCTACTCATTTTAGGGAAAACAATTTTAGATAAGTTCATATTTGAGTTAATAAGTTCAAATGAGTTTAGATAAGACAAAACAAATTCCAACTTAAATAAGATATCCGAGCTACTTTATTTGAAATTATCTAATTTTTTTTTTCTAAACTTGTTTTATTTGAAATCATCTAAACTTTTTTTATTTTTTATAAGTTCATATCCGAGTTAACGTTTTTTTTAATTGCATTATATTTTTTTTTTGAAACATTTGAATGGCATGATTTAAAACGTTTAAATAAGATTAAATACGCAAGTGAATAATAAAATTAAAAGAAAAAAAACCAATAAAAGGAACTTAAATAGTTATATGGTAGTTGCTTCCAAAAAAAAAAATAGTTATATGGAAGTTGAAGATAAATTTAGTAAAAAAAAAAAAAAACAATTTGGGTTGAATTTGGGTCGGGTCAATAACAAGTCTTGTTGATTTCAGGTCGGGTTAGTAACAAATCGGGTTGAATTTCGGGTCGGGTTAGTAATAGGTCGGGTCAGGTTAGTTATAGGTCGAGTTAAATTTGGGACGATTTAAGTAACAGATCGGGTTAAATTCGGGTTGGGTTAGTAACAGGTTGGGTTAAATTCGGGTTTTAATGGGTTAAAACGGGTTTGGGTCAATCTCGGTTCAGGTCGGGTTTGGTTCAGGTCAATAATTTACGGGTCATATTCAAGTCGGATCATCTCTAGGTCGGTTCATGTTTGGGTTCGGGTCTCAAATACTCGGGTTAACTCGGGTCTAGGGATGGTTTCAGGTCGGGTCATATCGGGTTCGGGTCACCATTTTTCCAGGTTCAAACGGGTCGGTTAATTATCGGATTCAAGTCGGATCTACTTTTGACAGCTCTAGTTCCAATGTAGTTATAATTCTGTCTAGATTGTATTAATGAAATGTGAGAAATAGATGGGCCGACCAACGAAGGGAGTAGTACATCACGTATACATTGTGTACAGTTTGGTAGAAATAAACTAACCAACTTCCAAAACATACTCTTTGTTAAAATATTGCACAAGCATCAAACAATGACAGCAAAACAGGGGACAGTTGAATAGAGTGCCAGCCTAGAGAAAAATAACTCGTAGTTGAACTAAACCCTAAACTTTCATCTGCACAATTGACCATCATAATTTATGCAGAGTAGTAAATTTGGTAACCCACTTGATATTGTTTAAAACAAAAAGTAATAAGTTAAATAAAATAAATAAAAACAGTTGTTTGTTAAGCCCCAAAACCTAATTTCTTGAACCGTTGAATCAACCGTTGACGCAATGACGCCAACATTAGGAGACAACAACCCAACAATGATAGTCTTTTTAAGCAGAGATAGTTGAGCACCGCAATCACGCATGTTACCCTCCATAACCGCTCTCCAAGGTTACATCAACCCGAAGTATTACTCAATTCACGTAGCAAAGTATCGACATATTTGTCAATATATGACTTTAACTATTAATATCTTTAATTGTCTATTTATACAAAGACTAATCTAACCATTCATACATATTATGATTATACATTTCGATTGATCTGATCTTTTTGTGAGATACAAAAGGCCAAAAAAAAGTCATGAAGATAACATATGGAGGGAGTAAATGTTTGTAATAATCTCTTCATCGCACCGTATTACTCCATAAACAATAACATATTGACGATAATTGACTTTTATCGTCACAAAACAAAGTCAAACTAGACACGAATAAAGTATATTAGTGAAAAATAAAAATGAGTCAAAAATTAACATAAAGTACACGAATAATACTCGAATAAAAGTCAAGTTGTTTCACTTGAAACAAGTACGAGTAACATTTAAGCGAAAAAAAACCTAATATGGGAGTTGGGACATTAGCAGTTGAGACATTGAAAGTAAAATAGGTGCAATATTATTATCACAAAAGCAGTAGTAGCAGTTTTTATTGATTTTGCCCATCCACACCTTCCGCGGAAAGGTTGTACATTAAATCGACACAAAATCAAACACAAAAAATTGTAATACAACACCACCACTACATCACTACTACTACTACATGTTTTATAATTAGTAATTAAAAATCACCAGTAAAAGAAAGAAAAAAATAGATCTTCTGATCTTATTATGCTGACAAACTTCATGGGATACAAGAAAACACCAACCCATGAAGTTAAACTTAATAATAATAATAACATTAGTAATAATATTTCCTATAAGTTATATTTGTCATTGGAGACCAGAAATACCTGATCACCAAATCCTGTAGTTATTCAAAATTCTTATTTTTCTTCACGCATCATATTATCTATTAGTCTATATATTACTAATCCTAATTTTGCTAATCCTTTCATCACTTCTAGTCGTCTTTGTTGTTGTCGTCATCATCTACCCCATCTACCGATGAAACAAACATTCCAAAACACCCAGGAAAACAAGGGGTGTTAATAAGTCCACTCCTGAGGCAGCTTGATCTCATTATTACTTGCCGTTGGGGTGGTTGTAGCACGAGCGTTTCGTCGGTGGCTCGACTGTGATTGTGAACCTTTTCCAGTCTTTGACGACTTTGTTGCATTCCCATCTACAACAAAAACACATCAGATTTGATTATTAGTACAATTAAATCGAACTGCAGCTGTCAACAAAATGTTTTTCAGTACTACTACTTTAAACCACCTGGACCACTCTCTATCTCCAGTTTGCATCATTTTGTAAGACAGTTCAACTTATCCCACCAAAATGTAACCTACCTTCTCTAAATCTTGATCTCCTTATTAACTTTATTGAAAATTTAGGCACAGCCGCAATTAATTGAACCACTCCACCATCTAGGATATAGAATAATATTCAGATCTGAACCAAACAAAGTTGGAACTTGCAACTTTTTTAGACAAATTATGTTATCCTGTACTTTCATTTTACCTCAAATACCCGTATCAATTATCGACACCACACATGTTGGGGTTAATTTTATTACGTAAATATCAAGATCCGCCGAGACTATATTAACTTATGGTTAGCACTGTCAAAACGGTTTGACAGTTCGGTTTCGGTTCGATTTGAAATCGGTTCGCTAGTTAATCGGGTCGGTTTGGAATCGGTTTAATTGTCTCGCGGGTCGGTTTTGGTTCGATTTAAATAGTTATCGGTTCGATTCGGTTTCGGTTTATTCTTAAGCGGTTTTAATTCGGTTCGGGTTGTAAACAGTCCGGGTAGTAAACGGTTCGGTGCAGGCGGGTTGCGGTTTGTTAACGGTGCGGTGTAAACGGTTTTTTTCCCGGTTCAAACTGTTTCGGGTTGGAAACGGTTTCGGGTTAGAAACAGTTCGGTTCTTTTTTTGTTCAGTTTATAACTGGTTCGGATTTTTTTCGGTTCAGCTTTTAACTGGTTCGATTCTTTTTCGGTTCAGTTTATAACTGGTTCGGTTCTTCGATGGTTTAACCACTTTAACATAATTCATATCGGTTCCATTTCAAGTTTACTAAATTACGGTTCGGGTCGGTTTTCGGTTTTAAAAAATAAATTGTTTATTGAGTTGTTTGGATTCGGGCAGTTAAATGGCTTTGGTTTGAAATTTGATAGTACTTGCTAACCTTTTGCGTTCACAAGTTTTATATAAAGTTGGCAAGTCGCGAATCATTTCATATTTAGGCATCATATTATAAACAAATTCTCATTGATTTTATAAATACATATTATTTTCTGTTTCAAGTTTAGTCATACCGATTTTACTAGTTTATTACGAAGTAGATTATAAGAGTTAGTGTATTAATGTATTATTGTTATATAATTAGGTTATTATATGCTTCTTATTTAATCATTTATATACTACACATACTATCATATATAATCATGATTTGATGAGTTCTTGACTTCTTGTGAAATGGAAATTTGCAATTTGGTAATTCGATACTTGATTAGTCAACAAGACTGATAATTATGACTCGTTTATCATTATATATTTTCATGAAATTATGAAGATATAACAAAGTGCTTTGATTTGTATAATGAAAGAAAACACTAATGACTAAGTAACAAGGTAATATTGATTAGTTCAATCGATCATATGTACACATTATTAACACATGACATCTAACCATCTCATAGATAAATATTCGTATCATCGTTATTCATATGTATTAGTACAAAGTTATAGACTCATTAGTGATCTTTTTAAATTTATCTATTTATACATTTTATTAATATAATGTTTTTATAATTTTTACGTGTATGAAAATAAAGATATACTAGTAGATGTTTTAATACGTGTCTTGGGCACTGATCCCAATCAAATGGGGCAAAAAAATACTAAAGAATTGAGGGAATAATATTTTTGTAGATGAATGTACAACACACAAACACACACGGATTACCATTCTCAACCATAGATTAAAAAATCAATGGTTAGATTCTTTCTCCCACAACACACACGGATCACCACTCTCAACCATAGATTAAAAAAATCAATGGTTAGATTCTTTCTCCCACAACACACACGGATCACCAATCTGAACCATAGATTAAAAAATCAATGGTTAGATTCATGAAACCACTCTCACCCTTTTGAAACTCTTTCACTCTCACTCTCACTTTAACACTCTCACTTTACCACTCATTCTCACGGCGCCTCTCCTTCTCACGGCTAAGCGCCTCTCCGTCTCACGGCGCCTCTCATTCTCACATACATTCATTCACGGTGTTTGCTGTCCTGATTCTGAAGCTGTCCTGATTCTGCCTCTCTCTCATTGAGTCATTGGTGTTTGCTGCCATAAATGCTCCAAATTCAGGTAACCACTCTCTCTTTCTAGATTTTAATTGATATGTTTTGTTGGTATCATGGTATGAATTGGTTTTTTTTTTTTTGTTTTTTTATTATTATTATTTATATTTTGTATATGTATTTCTTGTAATGCATGGCAATTGAAAATGTAAATTTGGGGATGAATGGATGAATTGACTGAAAGTGTTGAAGAATGGGGTTTTGTTTATAAGGAATTAAGGATATATTGGTTTTGTTTACTGATTCTGCAGTAATGTAATTGTAAATTCATCTAGTCTCTTGTAAAGCTTAATACCTAATGAAAGAAGGAAATATTATATTTAGAGGAAAATTAGAAGCTTCATGGGTAAATCCATTTTCATCAACTTTTTGTTAATGTTTTGACTTCTTTGTTTCCACTGCTCGAGCAATATCGATTTGTCTACTGGAGAGCAAAATGTATTCCTTGCATGGATAAGAGGGTAGCCAAAGATAGCTTCTATATATATGTATTTTATGTTAATAATAAAACGAAAATTGAATTTGGAAAATGAAATCATGAAAGAATGATTTCCTGAATCTGATTGAGGCAATGTCTGTACCATTATGCTTTTAATTTTGCTGTCAATAACTTATGAGCTTGATCATGTGAAACTGGCATAATCTTGGATGATTATTACCTATCTGATTTTGTTACATTTCTTGATTCTAACTCCCAATTACAGAATTGGACTAGTATATACTATATAGTCTTATTTTGCTGTTTCAAGGACAATTTGTCTTCTCTGATTTTGTTACATTTCTTGATTCCTGAAAGTGTTGAATATGTGGCCTAGTATTGATTTTGTTTCAAATATGGTTTGCTCAAATACATCCACTTATGATGAAATTTGTTGTTTTGTTTCTATTTTTTTAGTAATGGAGCAAGGGTTTGGAAATTATGATGAGCACACTATAGATTCTCAAGACACTTTTCAGAATCAAGATTCTTCTCAACAACAAGTCACTAACACTAGTGGTAGTAAGCGTCAACGAACATAAGATGTGTGGAGGCATGAATTGCTAAAGCCTTATTATGCCAACTCTATCTTATTTTGGTACGAAGTATGCTAACAGTTTGAGACACTTGAATTTGTCCTATCCAAGTTCCAAAATTTCCATCTTTGACTGTTCTTGAGAAACCGGTAGTCTGCAGGTTTAATGATAAGTTTGGAATATTGTGTGTGGCTCTTTAGAAAAATTGATAAGTTTGGAATATATGCTAAATATATTCTAAGATTTCTAATATTTAATCCATTTAATTATATAAAAAAGTTTGTACTATTCAAAATAAAAAAAATAAAACAGTTTGTAAACGGTCGATTTAGAAGCGGTTTGGTTCATAAACGGTTCGGTTTACAACCAGTTCGGTTTTTAAATGGTTCGGTGCAAACGGGTAGCAGTTTGCTAACGGTTTGGTGTAAGCGGTTTTTTTTGCCAGTTTAAACGGTTTCGGGTTAGATACGGTTCGGTTCTTTTTCGGTTCGGTTTTCTTTCAGTTCAGTTTATATTCGGTTCGGTTTGTTAACGGGTTCGGTTCTTAAACGGTTTACCATTACTCGGGTTGATTCGGTTTCGGGTTTACTAAAATACGGTTCGGGTCGGTTTTCGGTTTCAAAAAAACCGGTTTTTAATCGGTTCGGTTCTCATTTGGATCGGTCGGTTTCGGGCAATTAAACGGTTTCGGTTTGAAATTTGACAGCACTACTTATGGTAAATTATCTAATCGACACTAAGACACTACATTTGGTTTGGACCAATAACTTGAGGACAAACAACTACAAATTCGAATTAAATTATATAAAAAAAAAAGGGCAAATAATAAATGAAAGAAAAAGATTAAATACCAGATTTTTTGCGGGGTACAGAAGGGGTGGTGGTAACGCTACGGGGTAAGAAAACACCAGTTCCGTTACATTCCCTTTTGGGCCCAACAAACATGGGCTGAGGCGGCATCGGATGGGCCTGATTTTGGGCCTGAACTTGTTGCAGAGTAGGCCAAGCAGATGGCGGCAGCCCTAAAGGACGATTGTTGTTGTTGTTGTTGTTGTTGTTACCGTTGCTCTTATTGTTGCTCATGTTGTTATTGGTTGCTCTGTTTTGCGGCAACGGTTGCGGCTGTTGCTGCTTTGCCTGATTGTACTGCACACCATTTGACGGCGCCCACACCATCTGTAATCACAATCATAACCCCTAATTAGCCCTCTAAATACGTTTCATTTCAATAAATTAAAATTAATTAATCATAATAATAAGTTGGAAATTAATAATGAATTTACCGGAGGAAAACGGTGGAATTGAGGTTGATAATAAATGGGAGGAAAGTGGTCAGGATTCCTAAGAGGAGAAGGGTATAAAACTCCTTTTTGACTGCAATCGAAGAATCCAGTTCCGGTGCTTTTTTCAGTATTCATCTTCAATCTAGCCACCTCACCCGCCGCCTTATTCAGCAGATCTAATGTCGCGTTGTTGGAGTTTTCTTTGCTGTTGTTGTCGTCGCTTTTGTCGTCGTTTTGCGGCGGCGCTTGCGGCGGCGATAGGCTTTCCCGGCTTGAACCATGGTTGCACAAACACCCACATAGCGTCGATTGCGGCGAACTTGACAGCACATACCCCTATTAATTTAAATAAAAAAAACATTAAATCAAATATTTTAAAAAAATTCAAAATTCAAAAACATAACAAAAAAACAGAAAAAAGAGGAGAAAATCTGGGAGGCGGACCTTAGAGTGAACAGGACATGAAGAATCTTGTAGGTCGACGTGAGCCATCTTTTGGGTTAACCCAGAAAGTAAGATATCCTCTTCGTCGCTCTCAGTTTCGGTACAACCAGAAGTTAACTCCAAATCCGAATTCGAGTTGGAAGACGATGACCCGTAACCAACAAAACCCAAACCCGAGTTGGGTACTTTTGGAGCGGAGAAATCAAAATCCATGAGAATATCATCGTCGGTGAGAAAATGCGAAGGAAGCCAGAACTCACCATCATCCAAATCTTCCGCCATAACTTTACTACTTCCGAAAAGGCGGCAAATGTTTCAGAGAAAAACTCAAAAACAAAAGATTTTGCTAATTGTTGAAGATTAAATAGATAGGATTATATATTTATATGAACAAGGAGTGAAGAAGATGAAGGAGGAGGAGTGGGGGAAGTTGATGTTGGGGGTAATATGGGAGAGAAATAAGGAGAAGAGTGGGCGAAGTGGGGTGCGACTGCTATTTGTAAACCTGTTTGTGCCTTTTTTTTTTTTTTTTACTTTCATTATTTATAATTAAAAAAAAAAACAACATTAAAAAAAATAATAGGAGAGAATCCTATAAAAAGGAAGGTTATGACGCTGTCAAGAAGCGCGTGATATCTATGTGATTTGGGTATTTTTCAGATTATGTGGTCTGGAATTGTATAATATATTCATTTTTTCGAAAGATATTTGCGTCGGCCCATCTGTATACACTTAGCTGTAAATGGGCCGTAATTTTTCTTGATTTTTTTTTTTTTTTACACATCTTTCCTTTATTTTTCTTAGTTGCATAACTTTGTAAATTGCGGACTTCTAAACTATTTTTAAAAATAAGAGAGATTGACAGAAAAAAAATAAAAAATGGAGTCATATGATGTGGGAGACATAAAGAAAATTTGTTCCGCATTACTTAAAAAGAATAGTGATACAATAAATTTAAAATTTCCATTTTAAAAAACTGATGCAACTTAAAGAGAAACGGAAAAAGTATTTTTATTTAAAAAAAAATTTGAAATAAAAAAGGAGGAAACCCTATAAGAAGTGGAACGTGTACCCGGATCATACACCACAAGGTCCATAATGCAGTAGTTGACGAAAGGAGGGAGTAAAAGAGTGGGACCCGATTTTACTTTCATACCCGTTTACTTCACAACTAAGACTCATTTTTAACCCGAATTATTTAATTTTAAAATTTAAAAGTGTGTCCTTGCTTTTAGCTTTTTTAGTTTTGACTTGGTCCAATGTTTTTACAACTAATTACAAGTAGTAACTACGGATTTGTTTTGTAATTAAGTAGTGTAAAACGGTAAAAGGAGACTACTTTTTTCTTTTTCGGGTAATGTTGCACTCTTGCAACTAGAGCCTAGTGCTCGATCTTAGTCATTCATCCGACCAAAATTTTGACTTGCTGCCGTCTTATTTGTTTTTCCTATTTGTTTAGGTGTTAATTACTAGTACAATTGAATTGTGAAACTAACCAAGTTGCATTATAGTTCGTATTTATAAATGTTTTAGTCAAGTTACAGTTTTGTTGCAATATATATACTCCGTAGAGAAAATATGTTTATAAGAATAAGTTATTGCGTTGTGTTAATGAAATGCGACTTATACGTGGTACCATAGATTATGTTTGTACTTTGTATGACCTCTTTTCCTCAAGGTTCACCTTAAATGTCCGTGCTAATTTCTTTTTCAAAAAATTAAAAAGTTATTACTTTGCCGCCTTTTCAAAGAACATTAAACATGCATAGATTTCGTTGTTTTCTTAACTATGAAGATTAACGGCTATACTCATATTGATCTAATTTGAGGAAAACCTACTTTTGTTTTATGTACCTTGATTTGGTATTGTACGAGATATGTCGTTTGAGTTGAAAGATAATCTTAATTAGTAAGAAGCATCGTAGGATAGTTATCGATCGGGGAATCGAAGGAAAATAATTTTACAAAAGACAATATGACATATCATATTATGACTTATTTGTTAAACCTAGACTTGATCATGAGTTACCTATCCTATTAGCTTAGCACTTGGGTTCGATTTTAGGTTTAGATCCAGCCTAAATTTGATTCAAAATTCCATGGAATTTATTTAATTTAGCCCAAGATCTTTTTACTTTAGTTTTTATCAAAATTTAGGCATAGTCCAAAACAGTTCACTCTATCTATTATAACCCAAATTTACCAAGTTGTCAGATGGTATAAGTTTTTAACATATACTTCCTCCACAATGAAATAATTTAGGATTAGCATTACATGTGGAAACCATTCATGTATCTCAACATGACATATACTTCGTATTTTTTTATTAGATTTGTAATTCTTTGTATAGTTCACCGTAATCATTATACAACAGTCATGTCATATTTTACGAGATGAGATTTAAAAGCCAATTTAGGCTCTATTTGGTTCATCTTAATTTGTTTGACCTATTTTTTATGAAAAATTATTATTTCATTTTTGTGTGATTTTGTCTATATTTTTTTTAAAGAAAACTTATTTAGCCGTTCTAATTTATTTGAGCTTATTTTGTCTAAAATAAGTCAATTTGTCAAAATAAGATAAATCAAACTTATCTTTAATAAAAAAAAAATTGACCGAATGATAAACCGCAAATATGTTTGTACGAAGTATATATGTGATTGAGAATCCTAAGTGATACGTACCTTAGCTAATAGAATTATTAGTTGATACTTGTAAGTAAAATCAATCCATTTATATATCAGAGATTGAAGATTTGGAGTATACATTAACATGACGTATAAAAATCAACAAAGATTTATTGTTGAAGTACTTTTTTTCGTAAATGTAATCTTTTAGATACATTTTTCTTCTATACTCTATTCTACACCTTTTTTTGAAAAATAAGAGAATTGATTCCCGATATATCTTCAATCAGCAAACAAACACGAAACACGAAACACGAACATTGGACTTTGCCAAATCTCTCTTCAAATTATTTGATTCTCTAGATAACATCTCACTGTACTATATAAGATCGAATTGTGAACATCATAGAATATCTTTCCTCATATAGTTATATATTTGGGCCCCTTTTATAATTAGTCCATAATTGAATATATAATTTTGTACATATGACCGCCCTTCTAATACACGTAATTGGTAAATTAATTAAGCCCTAGATTTACCCTTGTTGTATCATGGTACGTTATTATAAAGTTGTATTGACGATGACTAGCAAGTAGCAATACACATTAAATATGATTTGCACAAAACAAATTAAAAAAACAAAAAAAAATAATGCATATATGATCTAGCGTATTGCTAGAATATTATGTATAGTACGAAAAGTAAATTAAATAAATTGTTCATGGAAAATGAAAATAATACGACTTGTCGACTATTGACGAAGACGTAAACACCCTAATTAACGACTGCTTATTGCTAATCATGCTCCCATCAACACCTTCACCTTCAGCACGTCTATGTCATTTAGAACATAACCAGGTGGATGGGAAATTATTTAACCCTTGATTATTTAATAAATGTATAACAAATTATGTCAACCAGTATATATATACAAAGTGTATGGTGTACCATACAACATCATTTATTTATGTTAGATAACAAAATGTCAGCTATTACTAATTTAAGTAGTATTTTGTATTTGATTTAATGGTAAAGATTGTATGTCAACTATTACTAAGTTTCTGTATTTGCTTTAATGGTAAAGATTGTATCTCAAAACCTTATAGGACTAATTCCCGGGCCACTAAGCTAGCTTAGGGCAATTTAGGGTGGGGATTTCCATATTTTCCCATCTCTCTCCTTTCCCCTTCTCAAGAGGTTGTGCTCATTAACTCGGACTAGGTTGGTCAATGAGAGGTTTCAGTCTAATATATAAGACACATTTTCCTTATAAAAAAAAGACAACTATCTAAATAGCTGACTTTAATGTATCGCTTAGGGTATCAGTCATTGAACTGTTGTGTACGTACCAATGTACAATACGTCTACTTAATTCTTTACATGACTACATGTATTGTTAGAGGTGATGCATTGGGTGTTTAATTTTCTTGGAATATAAATGTAAGGATTTATGTTAATTTCACTTAATAACTAAGCTCAAACTAATTCACTGACATGAATTAAATTGCTTCATATTATACTTTATGGGGTGTCGATTGAGACCTAATTTAATTAGAAAATAATTTTGGATGGTATATTGTGTCTCACTAACAAAATATGATCGAGAAAACACAAGTCCAAAAGTCTCATTGTCATACTTACCCAAAGAGACTAACACCTTACCATCTCTGCATCTCACTTCCCAGAATGACAATTTTACTATATAAACATAGAATAGTCAATTTTAAGTGTAAAACCTTTTATAGTTTATGTACTTTCTTCTTACGGCTATTTTACCAAATGTCACTGAGTAATTGCGAAATTCACTAAATGCCATCTAACTTTTCAAAATTCACTAAATGCCACCGAGTTTTAAGAAAATTCACCAAATGCCATTAATGACTAACGGTTGTTAGTTGACCGTTAGTTGACCCACCCCCTTGCCACGTGTCACCTTATGATTGATCCGTTTTTTAATAAAAAAAATAAAAATAAAATTAAAAACCAAATTTTTTTTTATTTTTAATTTTTTTTTTAAATATACTGTTTTTGTTTTTTAAAAAAATTATTTAATAAAGCATGCTGCCACGTCAGCCAGAGCAAGGTCCAGCCAACGCAGCAGCAGAAGCGTAGCAGCCAAGAACAATCGCAGCAGCAGGTGGCTGTATTTCCAAACAACGCAACAGCCAACGATCGCAGGAAAAACGCGAGCCAACGCAGCCAGCCGAAACGTCAGTGGGTTCCAACGCAGCAGCCAAGAACAACTTCCAGCCACCAAACGCAACCACGCCACGGTGCTGCGACGAACAAGAACGATTTTAATCACGATTTGAACAATTTCGAATAAAATCACGATTTTCTTGCGGTTTGATGTTCGATTTTAATCCCAAAACAAGATTTTGGTATCAATTATCAATCTTATTGAATTAATTTGATGATTTTCATTCAAAATCAAATTGGGGAAAAAGTTAGGGTTTTTAAAATTTTGAATCAAACTCTTTGATTTCAAAACGAAAATAACAATTATTTACATGATTTTGAAATTGAAATCAAAAGAAAACAAAGCCCTCAATAAATTTCGACACAACTTGTCGAATTGAAGATCAAAATTTCGTTGTTCTTCCCCTTGTACGAACGAAAATATTCCCCTTTCGTTGTTCTGGTCGAATTTTGCTCCGGCAAGTGGTGGTTGGCTAGGGTTTCGTGGGGTGGGCTGGTGGCTGCTGGGGTTTGTGGGTTTTTTTATGTTTTATTTTATTTTTTGTAACTTTTTATAAAAATATTTTTGGTTTTTAATTTTTTTTTATTTTTTTTAAAACGGACCAATCAGAAGGTGACACGTGGCAAGGGGTGGGTCAACTAACAGCCATTAATCATTAATGGCATTTGATGAATTTTCTTAAAACTCGGTGGCATTTGGTGAATT